AAAGAAAGAAAGACAGAAATTATCTGTTTATGTGTCCTCCCTGGCCTGTAGGTTTCTCAAAGACTCATCTCTTCTATAGTTCCCCTGGATCTAGCACAGAGAACTAGATATGTCCAAGGTTTTGATGAACTGAACCACCATCTTTTTTGGATTCTTATAAAACTATTCGTTTCCAATTTAGTAGTAAACAGTTCCCCAATCACACATTCTTTTCCTAAAATTATGTTAACCATCTCCTAGTTCAGAGCTTCCAGTTGCTTTTAAAGCAAAATGCATTTCAGAAATCTAGACCCAACACTTTTTTTGCCTGTACAAAAGGACTTAGCCTCAGGCTAAAAGGAAAGGGTTTTGTTTGTTTCTGGTTTTTTTGGTTTTTTTTTTAGATGCCATAAAGCCATCTACCATAGAGCTCATTTTGTCCTAAATTGGAGGCTGGGGGGATTGTGTTTCGTTTATTTACAAGTTCTTAGCTCACGCCTGGCTACCTCACAAGACTCGAATTCCGCCTGCCATTACACATTCATCTGGTAATAATTTCTACTCAGTCTGCGAGGGCCACTCCACCTCCAGTACCCAGCACAATGGCGGGCGCCTTGTCCAAGGCCTGGCGCTAACGGTGGTCACCTTCTCCAGGGCAGCTCCTCGTCATCCAGGTCGCTCTCCGTCACCGACCCGTCTATCACAGTTTCATCACTGTCCCAGTCTGGGGCCTGGGCGCCTTCCTCCATCTTCGCCTCACGTCCGGAGCCTTGTTTATTCTCCTTCTCTAACGCCCCGCTTCCTGCGAAGAGGAAGGGCACGCTGAGGGTCGGGGGGGAACTTTGAGCGAAATATGAAATTCGAGGCGAGACGCGGGAGACATGCCTGGAACAGAGCAGCAGCGACGGTCGTCGTCGGGGACGCGGTCCCGCTCGGCCCCCTCGCCGCACGCCGCCGGCAGGGGGAGCCGCCCGCCGCACGTCTCAGCCGCGTGCGGCCCCGCCCCCCGACGCCGGTGGCCGGAAGTGCCTGGCGGAGCGCCCGCCCGCTCTGGGTTTCCCGGCCGCCTGGGGCGTGGCGCCCCCCGCCGCATCCGCTTTCCGTGCTTTCTTACCTATTCATTCGCTGGGCGGAGTGACTGGGGTTGCGGTTGTGGGGACCAGAAAGGCAGCGCTGCCACAGACAAGACCGCAGTCCGAGCCTGCCTAACGCCACCGGCAGGAGGGAGGCTTAGGTCACCTTACCTGCAGTGCGCCTCGTACTTGTGAGACCCAGACCTGGAAAGAACTGTCAGCTCCTGCCCGATCCAGTAGCCCCCGCTGTCCGTCTGACATTCTGAAGCCAGAATGTTACCTTACACCGGAAGAGTGTTTGTTGCAGTCCACCAAGTGCTGCCTTTCTCCTTAATTCCTTTGACACCCCTTCCTCGAGTGTCCTTTGAGGTAGGCAAAACAAACATGTTTATCCTAAGTTTATAGATCATCAACCCATCTAACTGATGTATTTTGTATTTGTATTTTTCCCTCATTAACTCTTTAATTGCCTTGAAATACAGGTTGTGTAGATAGAGGAGAATAAATGCTTTATTTTTTTTCCTATATAAATTTTTAGTATGATAGTGTCTAGCAACTTCCAAGAATAGCCAATTATGACTTTTGAATGAAGTACTAGATTTTTATATATTTGAACATTCAAAACAAAACCAAGTGAACTCCATTTGCCAAGAGAGGTAGATTAAGGATGAGAACTCCTTCCCCCATCAAGTGTTTAGTATTCACTTTGAAATCGCCAGCATCTAGCACATATTGGGTCTTTAAAGGTTTGTTGAATAAATGGATGGAACTAGGGTTTTCTGACTCCCCAATTCACTGCTCTTTTCTTTACATGCAATGGCTTTTCCATTCTTATCTTACAGAACTAGACCTCTCCTTGTTTTTACACCTCTCCACCTACACCCTCCATGTTTAAATCAGCCCTAAATCCCCATCCACTCTCCTGCTCACCTACTCCTTTGATCATCTAATTCTGTTAATTGCCAGCAATGGAAAGTGCATATCCATTAAAAGGCTGGTGGGTGGCTCTAAATGCCCTATGCCAGAAGGTGACTTTGCACTAATAAAAGACTTTGCTGCAGGCGTCTGGTAACTCTAGCTAAGTATAGAAAACTCGGAGTCTGAAATTCAGATTCCTTTTTAAAATACTTTCTCCTTTGGTGGATAAGAGTCAGTTATTTTTGCATCTTCAGTTCTTTTATATTATTCAAGACAGTTGCCAAGATTCAAAGCATAAAGAAGAAATAGCAAAGATGATCCACATAAATGCCAGTATGATTTTAAAGGAAACTTTTTTTTGTTTTTATAAAATCCAAAGTTTCACTGCAGGACAGAGATAGAAGAATGACCGATCTGTGTTAGAAATCTACGTTGCAAATGACAAGAAAAAATACAATTCAAACTGATTTAAGCAGATAAAAAGGGTGAGCTGGGTCATGTAACTGAACCATCCATAAGTACCCAGGTTGAGAGGAAATTTAGCTCAGCTTTCTTCTGAATTCGTTAAACACTCAAATAAATTGAAACACATCAAATGTATAAAAATCCAGAATCCTTGAGGAGAACACAGGCTCTTCGACCTCAGCCGCAGCAACTTCTTCCTAGAAACATCGCCAAAGGCAAGGGAAGCAAGGGCAAAAATGAACTATTGGGACTTCATCAAGAGAAAAATCCAGAACTTCATTTTAAAATAATAATTGGTAATTTAGAAGGTGGATAGGTACCATTTTATTATTTTAAAAATTAATAAAGGGGAGGAAAGAAAGCATTTATCCTGATGTTTCTATACAATCAGTATTTCAAGGTGACCAAATTGTTGATTAGGGAAAATTTTCCTTATAGAGAAATCACAGCTAACAAATACAAGAGATACAACAGAATTAGAAAATCATCATTTTGCAACCCATGAAACAATGGATCTAGGCAATGGTCAGCAATAGCTGCAATAGTTAGGCAGAACAGTAAAAAAAAAAAAAGTAAAGTAAACAACTAGACCTTTGTTTTTTTACACCTGCACACCTACATCTTCCATGTTGAAATCATTCCTAAATTCCTAGGTAAAAGGCTGATGGAGAATTTTATAATAGACAAGTCAGGATGACAACACTTAAGTCCAATAATAATCTTAACATCAATAAAAGTCGACAACCAAATATGTACCTCCTGGCACAACACTATATGAATAAATGGCACTTACCTGTGAAGTAGTCTAAGCCAAAAAAAAAAGTTAAAAACCTGAATCTAATCAAGCCTCTAGATCTGTCAGTTATTTATATGCAGGAAGAGGGGGCAGAGGAATAGACTAACACCATGAAGATGAAATTTACCAGACCTAGGTTATGGGAAATTCTATAGAACAAATGACTTGATTTCTTTCAACAATTAAGTATCATGGGATTTAAAAAAAGGGAATGAGAACTCTTTTACATTTAAAGAGACCCTAAGAGGGGCGCCTGGGTGGCTCAGTCGTTAAGCGTCTGCCTTTGGCTCAGGTCATGATCCCAGGGTCCTGGGGTCAGGCCCTCTGCTCAGCGGGAAGCCTGCTTCTCCCTCTCTCACTCCCCTGCTTGTTTTCCCTCTCTTGCTGTCTCTGTCTCTGTCAAAATAAATAAAATCTTTAAAAAAAGAGAGAGAGAGAGACCCTAAGAAAAGGGAAAAAATATCAAGTAGTTAAAAAGGAAAATTGATTGTTAATATAAATACTAATACAGAGTGAATTAGCAAGAAAAAAAGAAAAAAACCTTGAGAAGAGCATTATATCCTTTTTAAACCAACAAATATTTGTAAAAAATTAAATAACACAAGGTAGAATAAAATTAAATTTGATTATAGTAAAATTTAAATCTTTGAGGATTCATGAAACCAATTAATCCTTAAGAACTATAATCAAATTTTATAGCTTGATTCCATTTAGGCTGTAGGTCTTTAAATAAAAAGTCCTATATGGGAATTCTTTACTTGTTTTAAAGGTGAATTAAAAGGAGAATGTCAGCTCTACCACCTCAAATTTGCATTAGGAAGAAAAATTCCAAAATCATATCCAATAGCATGTATGCTAACCCACAAATGCTGGTGAGGGTCAGTGCCCTGAAGGAGGGCTGAGAATAAGGGCCTTTCCCTTATTGGCCTAGCCTTCTTATGGATGAAGCAGACAATAAAGAAGTACATGAATGAATGAGATAATCCAGAGAGTGATGCATGCCTGAAAGAAATAAATAGGTTGCTGAGATAGAGAATATGATTAGAGATAGCCTCTCTGAGGAGGTGACATTTGACCTAAGACCGAAAGCATGGATATAATTGCAGAGGTTCCGAGACAACCTAGAAGAACAGAAAGGAGGCTTGTGTGCCTGGAGCTGGGGAGTAGGGGAGAGTGGTATGAGATGAGGCCCAAGCACTAAGCAAGAAGTAGAGTATATACAAGGTGTAATGTGATGAAACTTGTTTGCAAGTATGGATTTTGAAAAAAAAAAAAAAAAAGAAAACTTATTATTTTGTACTTACACAATATATTTGCTTTTATAATTAAAATTCTTTTCTGCCTAGCGCTTCATATCATTTACATCCTATCCAGGTTGCTTTAGATCCCAGAACTATGAAAGGTGAGACTTTCATGGAAGATTTGATTTATCATAACCAAACACAACATGAATCTCCAAAAGAGTAAACCCAGCAGATATTTTTCACTCAAGTAATATTCTCCCCCCAAAATAAAGCTATATAAAGTGTTTCACCGAGTATTCTATAGTATTTTAAAATGCATTTTCCAAGAGAATCTTCATTTACTCTAAGATTTAAACATTTTTTAGAAAATAGCATTCAAGCACAAATTAGAACTGTTTTATGAATGAGAGATGCCTGACAGTCTCAGTCAGTAGAGAATGCGACCTTTGATCTCAGGTTTGTAAGGTCAAGCCCCACAGTGGGCCTAGAGCTTACTTTAAAAAAAAATTTTTTTTTAAATAAAAGAACTGTTTTGTGAATGAGATATAGACATAACCAGAAAAATCAGGATACCTGAAACCATTTCTCAAAAACTGCCAAATGTGAGAGCACACAAAGGCAAGCTTACACAGGATTGGATGTCGGTTCAGGTTCAGTACCCTCATTGTTTTTTAGTCGTCACTATAGTTGATTCACTTGTATAGGGATATGCTGACCACAACTCCTGTACGTATGTCCTTTCTTAGTGCAGAATTTAAGATAGAAGCTCAACTTTAAAATGGCACAAAATAGATATGAAAACACTTCAGAAGTACTATGAAATTTAAGATAGTAACCTAATAGAAAATTAATATTTTGTGATGAAAAACTTCTGGAGAATAACTAATAGCATCTGTTATTCTGATAAATGACAAAAGGTATATCATAATATTGAAGTCCATTAAATCAGCAGAGGAAACTGAGAAACCTAATGGGTAAGAAGCTATGCTTGGTTCTGATAGTAGATCACAGGGTATAATCAGTATGTGCTACCAATATTTGTTTGGGAAAACTGTTTCTCACAAGCTAGATAGGGGGTATGCTCAAAAGAGAACCAGCCTAGTTATATCCTGTCTGGAGGGAAAACAGTCCTCAGCAGTGGACTTCTGTGTTCTGTCTTCCAAGAATGGAAAAGGGATCATTAATAGGATATGTGCTCCCAGATTAAGGGAACTGCAGGAGAGACATCAACAGTAGAGGATCAGGTCTCCAAAAACATTACAAAATCACTTATGATAGAGTCAGCTTTAAACAAACGGTGGACCCAGAGAGTGCAAAGCTGCCTTAGAACAATTTCACTTAATGCTATGTTGGTAAATGTTTAACAACCCGCCCTCTGGGCGGGGAATGGGG